TACAAAACTAATGGCAGCCCACAGATTAGGAAAAGACCTTCACCAACCCCACATCTGCTCTCCAAAATATACAAAAACTCAAGAAATTAGTCACAAAACACCAAATAACCCTATTAAAAAGTGGAGTGCAGAACTAATAGAGAATTCTCAATAGAGGAATCCAAAGTGGCTAAAAGACACTTAAGAAAGTGTGCAACATCCTTAGACATCAGGAAAATGCAAATTAAAACGACTTTGAGATACCATCTTACTCCTGTCAGAATGACAAAAATTAGAAACACCAACAACAGTTTATGCTGGAGAGGATGTGGAGAAAGGGGAACACTCCTCCACTGCTGGTGGGAGTGTAAATTCCTACAGCCATTTTGGAGATCAGTATGGTGGTTCCTAAGAAAAATGGGAATCAGTTACCACAGGACTCAGCAATCCCTAAGGAGCAACCTAAGAGATTTGTGCAAGATCCCTCACAGAAGGGGAAAGGAACAAGATCTTCTGAGCATATTTGGAATGTGGCAGGCAGTGAGTGGAGAAGGAGTTAAAAGAAAGAGAAGGGAAGGAGAGGAGAACATGTGGGACCAGGAAGATTGAGTAGGGAGATGAATTGACCATGTTCTTATACTGTTGCCTACTAATGCCTTCTTCCAGTATGTACCAGTAGGGTCTTCTCTCCTGGTGGGTACAGGACCAAGGTTCTTTTCCAGTGGTTGCAAGCAGGTCCAATACTCCAGTGGCTCTCCTCTTTCAGTGTGTTGTGGCGGGACTCCTACCATGAATGGAGGCAGGACAAATTCACTGGCACACTCTGGATGTGCCAGTCCACTGGGATAGGCTCCCCTACACACATTGTTGAGACTGTGATAGACTATGAGGACTTTTGAAGTTGGACTAAATGCATTTTGCATTATGATATTGTTACAAACTTATTATGATATTGTTACAAGCTCATGGGAGTCAGGGAGTGGAATGTGGTAGTTTGGATGTAATAGTTCCCATAATCTCACAATGAGTAGCATTATAGGAGATACAGCCTTCTTGGAGTGAGTGTGGTCTTGTTGGAGGAAGCATGTCACAGTGGAGGCAGACTTGAGATCTCATATATGCTCTAGATACTTCCCAGTGTCTGAGCTGACTTCCTGTTGCCTCTTGACCAAGGTGTAGATAGCACCTTGTCTGCCTACACTCTGCCATACTCCCATGATGGTGGTGGACTGAACCTCTGAAATGTAAACTACTACCATAATGGAATGTTTTACTTTATAAGAGTTGCCATTGTCATGTTGTCTCTTCACAACAATAGATTTCCTAACTAAAACAATGACTAAGGATTACTGTGGTGATATATCATTCATGATTTATTAAAGCCATTGGAGATCAAAACAGCAAAGCAGCCATACTAGTTAGCCATAGAAGTTAGGCACACATCTTTAATCCCAGCACTCAAAATTAAGATGTAGACAGATCTCTGTTAGTTCAAGGCCATACTGAGTACAAGAAATTGATCCAGTCCTCACACCTCACACAAAAGTGATCTCAGAACCTGGGATCACATGCCTTTAATCCCAGCACTAGGGAGGTGGAGACAGGAGTGATATGGCTGGGTAGAGAAAGGAATATAGAAAAGGATACAGGATCTGAGAGCCTTTTGCCTTTGAGGATTTGTGGAGATAGGGTTGCCATTTCAGCTGGTAGAGATAGGATCTACTGGATTAGCTGCTTTGTTTCTCAGAACTTCAGCTTGAAGTGTGAACCCCAATATCTGTCCCTGGGTCATTCATTTATACTGCTACATATTACAGTTTGGAAGGACAAAATATTTCATTGATATGGATAAGGAAGATGATTTACAATAATGTTAAAATGCCAAATAGCACTAAACTAAACTTTGCATTTAAATTTGATAAATATGGAGAGGCCCATGAATAAGTCTGGTGGTAAACAAAGGCAACAAATATTGACTATTAACAGTAGAGTTGGAAGATTTGCTTTAATTCACAGGTCCTTAAATCCAGGGATAACATTACCTTTGTTTAAATGCAAAGAATGATAACATGAACAGAAAGATGATTACATGTGATGGTTCAATGAGTTTGACATCACCTCATAAACTACTGGAATCTCTTTTGTAGAGTGATTCTGTTTCCTAACTCTGTATACACACACACACACACACACACACACACACACACACAGTCTCAGTGCCTACTTATTGAAAATATGGAATCTAACTCTATGAATCACTTTTTCTTTGTGGAGTAGAGGAAAAAAGTTCATGATCCTCAGTTACATAGGAACCATATGAGGAAACTGGATGGAAACTGGAAACTGCTGTATCTCTGACTATTTAAAAGATCCAGTCCAGTCCATGGTAGCTAAGTGCCCTACATTATCCTCTTGGCTAAATGGGCCATTAATGAAATATCACAATCTTTAATTCTTGGTTACTCTTCAGTCTTTAAGTAACATTGTCCTTTAGTCATGTTTATGAGAGAAATCCATCCTCTGAATTCTAAACTATACTTAGAACTATTCCATATACTAGGCCAACAAAGCTATAATCAGCAAAAGAAGATTTTATAAAAATTTAATAAAAGAGTTTTAAAAAGTATAGCACTCAGGACTTATCCTAAACTGCAGTACACATATCTATTTAGCCTTGGTCCAATTGCATTCCTAAAATAAGTTACTGCTAATGAAGTTTGTAGGCACCAAGTGGGACTATGAGCAAGACATGGACTACTGTCTTGGCAAAGATTTCAACAGAAATAATTATCTGTCCTTTGGGTCCTTGATAGGTAAAAACATTACTAGATCATATATGTTTTTCTGAAAGTCTATTTAAACAATTCTTTAGAATCAAGAGAGAAGGAATTCCAGAGATTTGTGAGCCAATGATTAGAGATGTGGCAGCAAGATTTATTTAAGAAACAATACTTGGTCTCAGTGAGTTTCTACAGAGGTAAGTTACAGGAAAACTTGAGTTAGGAATGAAAGAAATTCTCCCTGTACAACGTTCATGTGCTACTAGGAAGCAAAACATGTACACAAAGTGGTAGAGAAAATTAGGTCCATTCAAGCTATTCTATTCATTTACACTTTTTATAGTGGAATGCACAAATGTTTTATGTTTTGAGGTATTTGGCTTTATTTAAAGTGTTTTTAACTTGAAGTGTAATATTTCCATATTATGGAAAGACTTACTAGTATAAATATATTTTAGGAAAGTGACAAAATGCATAGGACCCATGGTTAAAATAGTTAATTTTAGAGTAAATTGTGACAATGGGAATAAAAAAATGAAAATATGTACACTGGAGAACTGTTTAGAGAGATATCAGCTCACAGAGTTTGTTGAAAGCTGTGCTGCATGTGCCAAGAAGAGAAAAAAAATACAAAAACAAAACCAAAAAAACAAAGACTGCAATAAACTTCAGAGTCATCTGTACATGCAACAGCACCCAGGTTAGTGGAAACTACACTTCTTTAAAAAATTTTAAGCAGATTCACTTGATTTGGGGAATTTGTTCTCACTGAAATTTACCTTGTAATCTTATACTGAGCTCAAAGTATAAAGTTTTTGCTATAAAAATGAAAGAGTAAAACATAATAATATTAAATAATCTGTAGGAAATCTCATATCAGGTGATACTGAGAATGATAGAAGTCAAGTTTAAAATTCTCTGTCCAGTAGTCTCACTAAATACACTGATTCTGGCCTTATGTGTAACAGCCTGAGGGATTTTCACCTTTTCTAATTTCCAGATGCTACCTTGAAGTTAGAACTTTAAGTTAAATACATTGAGAATGATTAACTACATAGTCACCTTGTACAGGTCCAGCAAATAAAAGGGAATTACTCAGGGACTAAGCCACTCTAAAAACGAAGTATATTTTCCTCACTTGTATTGTAACTGAGGGGTCTCAATGATGACCTCTCTATCCAGAGAGCGGTTGTTATTGGAAGAGAATTATGTCACTTGATTTTTTGACAGAGGCAGAAGGGGAAGAGAAAGAATAGAATCTCTCCTCTTTTTAAAAAAATCACTGACATCTAGTGAAAGTCCACAGACAGAAATTGAAAGAGAGCATTTTTGTATGGCATCAACATTTCCATAAGTTGTCAGTGAAAACTATAAATTCATCTATTTTGGCTGGATACACACCAAAAACAGAGAGTAAATTTCCTTAGCTACCCCTCTCATACGTGCTCTCACCTCATATAACCCTGAACATAATCCTAAATGAGGAAACAGTTCAACATTTGGGAAAATTTATGAAATACTCTGTGGACTTAGAAGGACTTTGGAATCTTTACATGTATACATCCAATGTTAATAAAAAATGGGATCATGAAGGAAGGGGTCATGGGGAGTCTGGCACAAAAGTTGCTATTATAGAATTAATTATACTCAGTGATCTGTAAAAAAAATATACCTCTGTCCTCCAGAAAGTAAGCAACTCTCCCTGTAGTTCTGTCTCTGGGTCCTTGTGCATCATATGATACAGAGGACTCATACATATAGAACACAGGAAACTTGCATCCAGCACGGCTTTAGGCTTTCATTCTTTAGTGTACCAAAGAATTTCATGTATACTGCATTCATAGACTTTTAACATTCACATTCATGCATAAATGTAATTTCAAATAAATTAAGATTCATGGTATTTGTCACACATGGAAAACAAAAAACATAACAATAAAGAGACTATACCAAGAATTTTTTTAAGGCTGACAATTAACCTTTAGCCAACAACTATAATAGACTTTGCTCTTTTGTGGTATTATAATAAAGCATTAGTAGTAAGCTAACTTACTTCTCATCTTCAAAATTATCTGGAAAGTGATCTTAAGTGTAAAGGCAAAGTTGTAGCTTTTTATTTCAGCAGTTAAAAACAATGAGATGACAAAGTATTGCAGCTTAGTATTTAAAATATCATTAACTGTCTATTTTTTTTTTCTAGATGACCTTATGCTCATAGCCTGAAATAAATTGACTGAAAGGATGAACAATGTCACAGAATTCATCCTCTTGGGCTTGACTCAAGACCCAGAGCTGCAGAAACTCTTATTTACTGTGTGTTTAGTAATTTACTTGATCACACTGACAGGTAACATGCTCATCTCAGTCACCATCTTCATCAGCCCAGCCCTGGCTACTCCCATGTACTTTTTTCTGTCCTATTTGTCCATCATAGATGGTTTGTACTCTTCTTCCATAGCACCCAAAATGATCTATGACTTAATCTCTAAGGAGAGCAGTATATCCTTCAATGGCTGTATGACTCAACTTTTTGCTGAACACTTTTTTGCTGCAGCTGAAATCATCCTGCTGATCTCCATGGCCTATGACCGCTATGTAGCCATCTGCAAGCCCTTGCACTACATGACCATCATGAGCCAACCGGTGTGTGCATTTTTGGTGGGGGCTGCTGTAGTTCTGGGATTCATACATGGAGGAATACAGATTTTATTTATGGCCCAGTTACCATTCTGTGGTCCAAATATCATTGACCACTTCATGTGTGATTTAATACCTCTCCTGGAATTGGCCTGCACTGACACTCATACTCTAGGGCCACTGATTGCTGCCAATAGTGGGTCACTGTGTTTACTAATTTTCTCTATGCTGGTTGCTTCCTACATAGTCATCCTTCACTCCCTAAGGAATCACAGTTCAGAAGGGCGTCGCAAAGCCTTGTCTACTTGTGCCTCTCATGTCACTGTTGTTGTCTTATTCTTTGTACCTTGTTCATACCTGTACCTAAGGCCCATGACCTCCTTACCTGCTGACAAAGCTGTGACAGTGTTTTGCACTCTGGTGACACCTATGTTGAACCCTTTAATTTATACCTTCAGAAATGAGGAGGTCAAAAGGGTTATGAAGAAGCTCTGGGGTCAAATGAGGAAAGTTGGTGATACACAAACCTGATGATTTGTGTTTTATAATGTCTAGTGTTGTTTTACAGACATTTGTTCTTTTTCTTAAATGGTTAAAATTTGATGGTGAATTATATCCTATGTGCAACAAATTGTCATTGAATAGTAATTATATCTCTGAATGGAGAAAAGTGTGACAGTACTTGTATATAACAAACATGAGAAAATCGTGGTGGCAAATCTTTCTATCCTCTTAAGTTATCACAGTTTCATTGTGTTGTAAACCTTTAAACTCTTTTCTAGTTCCTTATAAAACACATAATAAATTGTTGTGAAGAATATTCATCCCAGTGTTTAGTATGTGTCCCTCCAATGCACAGATGCACATGTATTTTGGTTCCTGTTGTCCAACCTCACAATATTCCTCTTTTTCCTGTCTTCCTAGCCTCAATGACCACTATTCTACTCTCAACTTCAATGGGATAAAACTTTGTGACTTTTATATTTGAGTGAGAACATGCAGTATTTGACTTTATGTGCCTGGCTATTTACCCTTATGTCACATCCTTCAGCATGTTCCTACAAATAATAAAATATCATTCTTTTTTAAATTAATGTTGTTATGGCAGTACACACATCACATTTTATTTTTCACTATTTTGAGAATTTCCTACTTGAATACTGTATTTTCTATCATTTGTACCGCTTGTGTTTCATCTCTCCAATTACTTATATGTATTTTTCTATGATTATTAGTGTGTGTGTGTGTGTGTGTGTGTGTGTGTGTGTGTGTTGAATCCATCTAGTGTTCTTCATTGGTGGTACATGCGTTTAGAGATGACTACTGGACATTAGATAACATATTAGGAAATTCATCCCTGAGAAAAAATGATTCTCACTCTCTAAGAGCTACAGTTGCCCATAGTTCTTCATCTAGGGATGGGGCCTTGTGAAGTTTCCCCCACTTGCAATGACAAGTTAACTGGTATGCTCATTCTGCCAAATCAATGTACCTTATGACTATGTTCCAAATAATTTTCCTTAAAGATAATCTTGACTCTCATTTCCATTCAAAGTATTTCCTTTGGCCACAAATGGAAGGTGCTACAGAGACATACAACTAGTCAAAATGCTCAAATAGTACAACCTCAATGCAATCCTTATAGTTAAAGCCCAGGTAACATGGCAGAAGAGGAGACAGGAATATTTTCAGTGCCAGAGGACATTTTAGCCTGCTATAAATTAATGAGTATTAGACATGGAAGGGGTGCCACTCCCATTAAATTTCAACAATATTATTGCTGAAGCATACCACATTTTTCTTTAAGTTTTCTTTTTATTTATCCTTTGTGTCTTTCATATCATGCATCTCAATCCCGTTTATTTCCTGTCCCTGTGTATTCACTCTCCACCCTTGTGGAGAGTGAAGAAAAAGGGCAAAAATCTTGTTGTGGAACCTATAGTGTGACACAGTGAGTGTGAGTCACACAATAAATCCCTTTGTTCATAAATCTTTACTTGCAAATGTTCATTGCAAAGAGTCTGTTTTCAACTACACTATGGATGCTGGGCCCTCACCAGAACTCCTCTTGGTTATCCTGTTTTTTACCCTGTGTTGTAGAGATCCTGCAGCTTTGGGTCTGCAGGAATGATCCCTTCACATGTTTGAGCAGATAACAGATCAGGTGGACATTTGAATGGGACAACCCATAACACTGGTTCTGGGTCTGGGTAGTTGCAGAGTTGGTCAACCTGCTAGTTCTCCTGTGTTTTCATCACTGGAATGAGCTCTTCTGCATTTTCACTGATGAGTTCACCCCTTGCAGATAGGAGAAAGGTTTAGGACCAGGTCTCCTGCCCTCATGTCCTCAGAGTTGGATCTCCCATACTTAGACCTTCAGGTTCAGTTCTAATGTGTTGTCTAGGCATGGTGCAGGAGACACTCTCCCAAGAGCTGCAGTAGTTGAGGGGCAGGGCCAGCTCTTCTGCTCTCATGACCTCTGGGCCAACTCAGCCACCTGCTTTAGGTGTTAATGGGTTGTGGGAGAAGGCATCTCTCCCCTGATCATCACATCCCTCCACATGACAGATGAGTAATGGGGACAATTCTCCTGCTCTCACTGGAGGGGCTGGCTCACCCACACCTCCATCAGTGGGGTTGACTCTGTTTTCAACAGGGCCTCCTTTCCCAAGTGTTGCAGCTTGGGGTGGGGGCTGCTCTCCTGCCCTTCTGACATCAGGACCAGCTCTTCCACCTGCCTCAAAGATTGATGTGAAGGAAGGACATCTCTCTCCCATCCCATACCACCATATAGCCGATGAGGGGCGTGGCCAGGTCTCCCATGTTCACTTTCCTGGTTGGCTCACCTGCGCCCTCCTCTATAGGATTAGTTTTGTTGTACTGCTCCAATAGGCTCAGGACCCATGATCCTGTGTTTTGCAGCTGGTAAATGGGTGAGCTCTCTTGCCAGATGGAGACAGTAGGGACAAGGGAGAGAACATCTTTTTCTTATCCCCACCTAGGCTAATGGAGGCAGTACCAGCTATGCCTTTCTCACAAACTCAGTGCTGGCTCACCCATGTTCCCAACCTCAGAATCAACTCTATTATGCTGCCCAAAACTGCAGCTGGCAAGGGATTGAGTCAAATTTCCCATCTGCTGCAGGTAGTGAGGGGTGAGGGAAGGCATCTTTTCCTAACTTCATGATAGGCATGACCTGCTCTCCCTTTTTATGACCTCAGGGCCAGCTTGCTTTTGCCCCTGCTAACAGGGTCAGCTCTATTGTGCTGCCCAGGTGAGGCTTATGACCTTCTTTCCTGAGTGCTTCAGCTGGTGAGAAGTAGGACCAGTTCTCCCTAGTATTGAAGCCAGTGAGGGGGAGGGCTAAGTCTGTGCAGTCCTTCCTCTTTGCCTTCCATGGTATCAGGGGCCACATATACAGACTTTAAAACAACCATGGTTGCAACAAAACCATGAACCCAGACATGGCCCTTGGCTGCACCCCAGGCCCAGACTTTACCATGGTTCTGGATTTCTTGTATGAGTCTGCTCCTTACCACTTTAACTTCCTCAGATATGACTCTGTCCACAGGATGTGAGCCATTCTATCTCTGTCTCTCTCCCCCATAGTGCACCACACATTTGCTCATCATTATAATGTCCATCTTCCTGAACCACCTGTGGGTATCATTGTCCATACACTCCATTGTCACACTAAGCAGGACACTGCACCCAAGAATCATAATGGTGCCAGACTTCCTGGTGCCAGAGGCACAGGACAGGATCCTGGGTGAACTTCTTCTTGGCCCAAATCTAGTGACCCCAAGTGGAGCTGTGTTGGTCCCCCAGGAGCCTTCCAAGCCTAGAAACAGTAGGCAAGCATATACCACATTTTCTTAATCCATTCTTCCTTTGGCAAAAATATCAATATGCATTAGGAGTATATATAAGAGAGCTGAACTGACATAAAGACTCAGGCAAACAGTTACATCTTAGAACCCCTATAATCCTTGATTTATTTAAAATAAGAAAAACAAATATAACCTAAATCCTACTTGAACAATACTTATCATTATAAAAATACATTCATAAAGCATAAAGTTTAAAGTTATTTTAGGAGAATACTCATGAAGAGAATAGAAGCAAGAAATGGTGCAGTTCTATTGTAGGTATAAAGTTAGTATAAACACCAACATGCTTGGTACCTTTCATGCCCTGCAATGCAGGTTATGTTTTTAAATGAGCTTATATTTCAAAAGAAAGAAAGACAACTGTATATGAAAGTAGTATACAAGCTGGAACAAGTCTTTAAGAAAATGTTCTACACACACACACACACACACACACACACACACACACACACCAAAAACATCTTTTATGCTGTCTTCAAGTATGAAATTATCTGTTTAAAATAAAGGAATTCAGCTATAGAGATGGCTCTCTGTGCAGTTTTTGCCCTGAGAACTTGATTTTGGATCTCCAATTTCCAAAAAAAGACAAGCATGGCATCTGTAACTTCATTGTTGGAGAAAGGATACAGATGGACTCTAAGGCTTGTCAGTCAACACTCTACCTAAGAGTGAACACCAGGATCAGTGAAAGACCGATCTCACCCAGTAAAGTGGGAAATAATTATGTCACCCAACAGTCACACACACACACACACACACACACACACACACACACACACACACACACATTCAGTTCTAAAGAATTGAGGAAATTGTCTTGAGTGAAAAACTATGATCAATAAAGTCTAGGCCAAATAGGCCTTATATGTCATTAAAGACATTTTTTTATCTAATATTTTTTTTTCTTATTTTACCTATCAATCCCAGTTCCCTCTCCCTCCCATCATTCCATGCCCCACATGGACACCCCATCCCATCCGCTATCCTTTTCCAGGGAGTGTGAGAACTTCCATGAGAAATCATCAAAATCTGTCAGGCTCTCCTCTGTGTCTCTAGGCTAAGGAAACATCCCTACATGGGGAATGGACTCCTGAAGTCCATTCTTGCAATTCTTGCATTGTCAGAGGCCTTGTAGACTACCCAGGCCTCCTAATGGAGACCCACATTCAGGGGGTCTGAGTCGATCCTATGCTGGTTTCCCAGCTATCAGTCTGGGGTTCATGAGCTTGCTCTTGTTCAGGTCACCTGTCTCTGTCAGTTTCTCCAGTCTGTTCTTGACCCCTTTGCTCATTACTCCTCCCTCTTGGCAATAGATTTCCAGGAGTTTGGCTCAGTGTTTAGCTGTGGTTGTCTGCTTCTGCTTCTGTTAGCTATTGGATTAAGGCTCTAGGATGGCATATAAGGTAGTTATTTGGTATTTTGGTGACTAGCTTCTTAAGTTCTTTGTATATTTGGAGATTAGCCCTCTGTCAGATGTGGGGTTCTTGAAGACATTATCTCATTCTTTGGGCTGCTGTTTTGTCTTGTTGACTGTGTCCTTTGGCTTACAGAAGCTTCTCAGTTTCAAGAGGTCTACTTTATTAATTGTGGATCTCAGTGTCTATGCTACCAGTGTTATGTTAAGGAAGCAGTCTCCTGTACCTATTTTCTCTTCTAAGAGGATCAATGTGGCTGGATATATGTTGAGGTCTTTGATCCATTTGAAGTTAAGTTTTGTGAATGGCAATTGACCTCTATGCACAATTCTATATGCCAGCATCCAGTTATCCTTTGTTAAAGATGCTTTCTTTCTTTTTCGTTGTATAATTTTAGCTTCTTTGTCAAAAATCAGGTGTTCATAGGTGTGTGAGTTAATATCAAGTTTTCAGTTCGATTCCCTTGGTCTTCCTGTCTATTTTTGTGCCAGTACCAAGATGTTTTAATGACTATGGCTCCATAATAGAGCTTGAAGCCAGGGATGGTGATGCTATGGTAGGAGATAAGCTTAGGTTTGTTTCTGGCCTGCTTTCCAGGGCCCTGTTAGGAGTCTCCTGATACCTGGGCCCTGTGCATGCATGGGGGGAGCCCATCCAGGCAGACCTGCATGTCCAGAGTCTGCCAGTGTCCTGGTTCTGTCTCCTCTCATGGAAGGAGCCCACCTTCTGGTGCCCTCCATGAAGCTTCCTGAGGACTTGGGACTGTGCACAGGGTAACCCATCCCAGAGGACCATTCCATCTGCAGTCTGGCAGCACTCTAGTTCCTGTCCATCCACTGGACAAGGAGAGCCATCATAGTATTGGACCTGCTTACACCCACTGAAAGAGAACCTTGGTCCTTACTCACCAGGAGAGCGAGAGGCACTACTGGTAGCATTGGAAGAAGGGATTGGTAGAGGACAGAATAAGAACACAGTCAACAACAGAAAGATCAATATGACATCCTCATAGTCTAGGGATTCCATACCAGCAAGATTTGAACATCCCAACACAGATGAAGTAGAAGAGAATGACCCTAAAAACAACTTCGTAAAGATGATAGAGACCCTAAAAGAAGAAATAAAACCCTTTAAAGAAATTGAAGAAAAAACAAACCAAAAATGCAAGAAATCAACAAATCTCCTAAGGAAAGCCAAGAAACAAACAAACAAACAAACAAACCCAAAAAACAATCAAACAGATGAAGGAAACAATTCAAACAGTCCATGACCTGACAACTGAAATAAAGACAAAATCCAAGCATGGGTGAAGGGAGACTGATATGAAGTCCCAACCCCTCACTAAGCTATTGGTGTTTGATTACTTCTTGAAGAGAAAGTCAGTTTTATTCAATGGAGTGATACTTGCTTTAAGAACTACACTCTACTCAAGGCCTTACCTCAGGGGTCAGTACAAACCACATTCTATTTTTTTTGTTTGATTGATTGATTGAGAGGGAGAGAGAGGGATGTAGGGAAGGAAGTGAGAGAAAGGGTATGAGTTGAGCTCTTAAAATTGAGTGGGTAGAGAAGTAGGGAGGACTTTGGAGAATTTGGGGAGGAGCACTGATATGATAAATTATATCGAATGAAATTGTCATATAATGAATAAAGGCTTAGGAGTTGAAGAAATGACCTATGGGTTAAGAGTACTTTCTGCTCATGCAGGATACCTGAGTTCAATTTGTGGCTTCCAAATCAGGCAATGTATGACTACCCGTATCGTTAGTGCCTTGCCTTGGGAATCATCACTGACTGGCCTCTCTGCAGGTACCTGCATGTATGTT